ACAGGTAAAGGATTTTGTGTATGCTTGTGTAATTCGACTATTGTCCAAGTCTTTTAATGCCTTTACGTAAGCGCTGCATGGCAGTGTAAGCCGGGGTCTTTCTCATGTGTTCGGCTCACGCAGAATCACCTCTACATTATGCAATGCACATGTACTGCTGTTCTCTGACAGATAGGGCTGCACGATAAATCAAAATGGAATCGAGATCGTGATTCGACAGAAGCTGCGATTGTTGTGCGTATCTTTCAGTGAAGCACGGTTCTGTGATCAGCAGTAAATCTCCATCCGAAGGCCAGAGGGCGCTCTCGCGCTGAAACTACTAATACGCCTCGCAGAAGAAACCCAGAAAATCACACCTCAGACTGCGTCACTGAGTAAACATATGCATAACCTAGGGCTGGACATATGGCCTAAATTTATATCACAATATATTTATTAATTTCGGTCGACAATAAATTACATTTGAACATATATTCAAATAGAACGCAGTTATTTTAAATAGTAAAATATTTTAAAATGTTACTGTTTTTGCTGTACTTTGGATCAAATAACCGCAGGCTTGGTGAGCAGAAGAGAATAAAAAAAATAAAAAATAAAAACATTAAAAATCTTACTGTCCAAAAACTTTGACTGGTAATGTAGGCTGATTCTTCTTATAGATTGAAACAAATGTGCTTTAGCCAGTATAAAGAGTATGAAAGGTGCTCTGAGTTTCTGCAGAAAAAAAAATAAAGAGCTACAACAAAAGCATGTTTCTGGAAATGGATTTATTATTGAAAATGCAAACTGCTTGTCTGCCAGCAGGAGGCGCTGTGAGAGCGGCAGAAACAGCGGTTTCTCCAGTAACGGCTGTAATCAAATCAGCTCCGCTCATAAACGCTTCTTGATCAGATAAAATGAAAATGCCATCGAAGCTTTTCTGAAGACAGTCGGTTCTCTTCAGAGATACATTCATATAAAACACCCGCGCCGTGTTTTGATTTTGAAACGTGCAGTGCTCATGTTTATTCAACGAAGTCAAACGCCAAAAATAAATCAATGTATGGGAAACACTGGTAATGTATATCGAAATATCGGAAATGTGTTTAAAAATCATATCACCGTTATTGAAAAAAATTATATCGCGATACATATTGATATTGAATTATTGTCCAGCCCTAGCATAACCCTGTAGTAATGTTATTCAAGCAGCAGCACAGAAAGGGAAACACTGATGTCAACTGTCCCTTTCTAACCACTGCTGTCCTCATGTGAGTAAATCTGAGTCACTGTCCAAAACTACGAGTCCATCACATTCTACACCTGGACATGACGAATGACAGTAAGACACTAGAGGTGCGGCACTGAACACAGAATAATGTTTCATGTACTACCAAATACAATTTCATTACAGTTCAGAGTTTGGAATAATTTAGATTTTATACTTTTTTTTTCTCTCCTTTTGGTCACCACAGCTGCATTTATTTAATTCAAAATACAGTAAAAATCATTTTTATGCTGATTTGGTGCTTCATTTGATCAGTTACTATTGTTACTCTTATTATTAATTAATAATAATAGTTCTGATATTATGAATGTTGAAAACAGTTTTTCCTACTTCTGGAAAAACTACGTAACTTCCTACTTTCCTAAAGTTCACATACTTATTTTTATGTAAACTTCTTCTTTAGATAAATAGTCATTTTAATTTGAGGATTCTTTGATAAATAGCAATTCTTTGAAATAAAAATGTTTTGTAAGGCTATAAATCTTAATTAACCCCAAATTTATGAATGGATGTGTATTACGGTTTACACCAAAATATTAAGTGGCAAAAATAGTTTTCACTAAATAAGATATAATAAGAAGAGATGTTTCTAGAGCAGCAAATCATCATATCAGAATGATTTCTGAAGGATCATGAAGACTGGAGTAATGATGCTGAAAATTCAGCTTTACATCACAGTAATAAAATTGCATTTTCTAAATAGATTCAAACAGTTATTTAAAATGGTAATAATAATAATTTTTTTTTTACAGTTTTTACTGGACTTTTAATCAAATAAATAAATACAGCCATGAACATAAGATACTTCATTCAAAAACATTTAATACATCGTTGTGTATATAGACAGACAATTAGATCTTAAAAAGTTTATATTTTAAACATTAAACAGTACATTTGTAACAAAATTTTGTGGTTTTGATGTGTGTCTTTGGGGGTCCTCTCTATGATATAATTTCCTGTCTTATGTTTTTCCTACATGTTGTTTAGATTTGGCAGACAAGTTCAAATAGCCTATAAGCAGTTTATTATTATTATTATTATTAAGAAAAATCGAGATTATGCGAAACTACTGCTGCTGCTTTTTTTTGGAATAAAATTTCTTAGACTTTTTCTTAGTTTCTAAACCGTTTACAATTGAAAAATTCAATCGATTAATCATAAAATAGATTTGTTTACCAAGATAAAATGTAAAATAAGCTTACACTCTAAATGCTGGGTTAAATACAACACAGTGCTGGGTAAAATACAACACAGTGCTGGGTAAAATACAACACAGTGCTGGGTAAAATACAACACAGTGCTGGGTAAAATACAACACAGTGCTGGGTAAAATACAACACAGTACTGGGTAAAATACAACACAGTGCTGGGTAAAATACAACACAGTACTGGGTAAAATACAACACAGTGCTGGGTAAAATACAACACAGTACTGGGTAAAATACAACACAGTGCTGGGTAAAATACAACACAGTACTGGGTAAAATACAACACAGTGCTGGGTAAAATACAACACAGTACTGGGTAAAATACAACACAGTGCTGGGTAAAATACAACACAGTGCTGGGTAAAATACAACACAGTGCTGGGTAAAATACAACACAGTGCTGGGTAAAATACAACACAGTGCTGGGTAAAATACAACACAGTGCTGGGTAAAATACAACACAGTGCTGGGTAAAATACAACACAGTGCTGGGTAAAATACAACACAGTGCTGGGTAAAATACAACACAGTGCTGGGTAAAATACAACACAGTGCTGGGTAAAATACAACACAGTGCTGGGTAAAATACAACACAGTGCTGGGTAAAATACAACACAGTGCTGGGTAAAATACAACACAGTGCTGGGTAAAATACAACACAGTGCTGGGTAAAATACAACACAGTGCTGGGTAAAATACAACACAGTGCTGGGTAAAATACAACACAGTGCTGGGTAAAATAGGGACAAACCCAGCAATTGGGTTGTATAAAAAGTAACTAAGTAACGTAATTAGTTACTTTTTTTATGGAGTAACGCAATATTGTAATGCATTACTTTTAAAGTAACTTTCCCCAACACTGGTCACTAGCCAGACGGTTGGGGGTCAAAACAACCCAATTGCTGGGTTTGTCCCTATTTTACCCAGCAATTTTTAGAGTGTAGTTGCACCTCTCAGCATCGCAGCGTATTGCCATGAAACTACGCGTGAGGGGAATCACTGAAGATTCGTGAGAAACATGCAGGACAGGGAACATAATATCATGACATGTAACTCTAGGCCTAAAACACGCTGCTAACTGCGTTCAAGAGAAGACGACATCAAATACAAGTCTGAATTCAAGTTCATATTAAAAGCGCCAGTTTTATGTTCACCTGACATTACTTAGGTTTTATCCGCCTCCTCCTCTAAACAATAGACAACCGAAACCAGTCAACAGGGAAACAGCAAAAACACCAAAACTCGTCCAGAGTGAAAGCACGTACCTTTAGAGGGGCCAGTACTGAAGAGCCACCAACTCTCGGAGACACGCGGGGTCCGGCGGGATCTATATGTGACTGGACACTTAAAGACAGACACTCAACAGCTCCATTCTGTGTACAATCCCAGATTTCCTGAATCTTCCAGGTATGGGCGTGTCCAAGAACGCGCAGGTGAGTCCAAACAGCGCATTCCCAAGTCACGTGACCCCGCTGATTCATACCTGTGCGCATATGTCTGACCAGCTGATTGAATCATACCACATAAGCCTCCATATGGATCATATGTCATCTTTAAAGTCTGATGATTTAAAAGTATTGTGTGGTGGCTAGATGCTTTGAAACCTTGTGTTATCATAAGGGTCAGAATATAAAATGTAATAAAACACATTACATTTACTGAATGTTAAAATGTTTAAAAAGAAAAGTATTTATACAGATAATTATATTCCCTGCGTTAATCATATTTATTATGATTTTCAAGCTACACTGTGATGTGATAATTGTGAATAATTCAGATGTTAAGAAACGCCCAAAGTGATTTGAAACAAACAAAAACTGCTAAAGAGGTCATTTTCATAGGTATGTAGTTAAAATCACTCAAAATATCTTGCTGCTCAAATATGCTTATGGTGACATTTAGCAGTATTTGCATGATCAATTTCCCTATTTTTACATTTAAATGTTTTAAAATCATATAAACTTACACATTTTTCACATTTCACATGAATCGTGTTGCTTGAATCACCATTCTTATTCTAATACGTATATAATATAAAAATATAAATATGTATAAAAGATATATATTTTTTCGGTTTGAGACCAAAAATATGCATATTATCCTTTAAAAGGGCCTTTATCTTTTTGTAATAAACATATTAATATATAATACAATATATCATATACATAATATATTAGTTTGAACACCATTACATTGATATAAATAAAAAGCAAAATACTCATACTTATTCAAAAATTATTTGTCCTACTGAAACAAACACAAATACACCTCCAAGTGGACAGCACGCGACTACTGCAAGCAGTGAAAACACTATTGCAGGAACAGATGAAGAGCACTGGTGTGAGAGTGAGACATTATAACTGCTATCTTTAATTATGTCATAATTATAAATAAGTATTAGAATAACTTAAAACAAAAATGATTAGGGAATTAATGTGTCTTGCAGCTCGTCAGTCATATTTATTTAGTCATCATTATATGGATAGTATTCATACGGTGCTCGTGATGCAGAAAAAGTGGAAAGGTTCTTGTGAAGATGCAGCATTTAATAGCATAATAGCAACTAAAAACATTCTACATAAAAGCACATTTAATTCATATATTACTCTAATCAAAATACATTTAAATTTAAATACATTTTATAAAACGTTTTGAAAGATTTATGGCTTTTAACGTCTAAACCCATGTAAATCTTTAGACAAAAAAGTAACATTTACCATTATAATAGCCCCATGTCATTATATTATGCTGATTGTGCATCAAAATCACATGAGCAGACATAATAATCAATCCATGCTCACTATTGACAATGTTACTAACTTTTGGTACTAGTCACTGTTCTGTAATGATTACATGAAATCATTACTCACACAATACAAGGCAGGAGTGCTCACAATATAATTATACCAGTGTTATCATATAATAAACTTATTTCTTTGTTTGTATGACACATGCTTTAATCAGGTTGGTATCATGCCTTTAACATGCATACCAACCAGCATGTTTATGAGATAGTTACAGCACACTGGTCTAATGAGAGTGTAACTATTATTATACAACAAACTTGTGCTTGCAAGTAGGTACAAAGTGCACAGACAGTGTAAGGCACTGCAGTACTATAGTGTGGCAATCGCTCTGCCATTGTTTCAAACATAAGGCATTTCTCAGTCCATGTGTATTAGCAGCTAGAGATATCCATTGTGCAAAATTGTGGCGGGTGAGACAGCATGTCCACGGTTTCTACATCTAGTACATGTTTGGATGGCCCGGTCCACTTCAGAAGGCCCCACACTTCACTAAAAAAGAAAACAATATGAGCCACAAACACGGATCTGGAGCGAATGACACAAAAGAGATTGAGTTCCAGGGGAACTTCAGATCACGTGTCATTTGGTGAGAACCAATGTGACTTGACCCAACAATTACTGACCAAGTAGACATCCAGACCGGACTCAGGTGTGCTCGCCTGTGAGTCTGAAGCAAGAAGAGTGCTATCCTCCAATGCAAGAGTCGAGCTGGACGTCCTACGATCATCTCTGAGGACAAAAAAACACAGTGACATCAGTCAAACAAGAAGGTGCCAATCACATTGTGTTTAGCTAAAAAAAAAAAGGAGAGGAAGATCTGTAAAGGAATATGGAAGTTCATTTTTATTTAAACTAATATGCAGAGGTGTAAAGATTATACCTGAAAACAATACTTTGTACTCAAAGATGCACTCAAAGAGACATGCCAGTGAAAAATAAGAAAGAGTTGATTTGTGAGGAGAGCAATAACTTTTATTTTCTAAAACCGAAATAAAACGGAACACCTCAAAATTGCAAACAAAAGAAATAATAAAACCATATCCTTCAAAAAAAGTCTCTTCAGTATAACAGATAAATAAAATAATGATAAGTAAAATGAAAAAGTTAAAGCCTTCTTGCACTGGCAGTGCTGGTTTCGGCCTCATTGCCGGCTGCAGTCATGCCCTCATCTCATATCCACCTTATTTTCCAACGCGAATAAGCCGTTTTCTGTGAATGTGTGAGACTTCCGGTTCATTCGCCGCTGTAGGGAAATAACGAGAAGAATAACAACGTGCGGTAAACGGTAAAACTGTTTGCACTACAAACCAGTGTGTTCATAATTAAGATAATACATTAAAAGAAAATGGTAAGACACACCAGTTTGCAATATCAAGCAGCAAAACGAGCTGTATTGTACAGCTAAAAAATAGCTGGAAGCGGATGAGACCGGAAGCCAGACACATTCAATTTACAATTTTACACTCTCACGGGAAAATAAGGTGGATATAAAACACCAGTGATTCACAACCACTTGCTAAGAAACTCACATTCACGTAAAGTAGCCTTGTTGACAAGTTTGGGTGAGTACGTGCAAAACGCACAAGATATAGTACTTTCAGTGCCCTGTAGTTGGCGATATCACTTCTTTTGCTGCTGAAAAAGCTAGGTGCCATGCAAAATGTAATGTGTACTTGCAACACTCATTACAAATGTAGTGGAGCAAAAGGTACAGATGCTTATTCTAAAATATAGTGAAATAGGGTGCAAAGGTTGCTAATATCTTTGATACTCACTCAGTAAAACTACCAAAAAGATACTCAAGTACAGTAATTGATTGCATTTACTCAAATACTTTACACCTCTACACTTATACGTCTGTCTGATGGGAAAGTGTGTGTGTTTGTAGGTAAACACCTGGTTTCTGATTCAGTCTTCACATCATCTAGAGAGGAATTAGAAGACATAGTGGCGGCTGAAATCGCCGCGTTGAGTCTGGTGGAGCTTGGAATAACATCAGGTTTCTGAGAGGAGTGTGTTTCTGTCAAAAAGAAGCAGCATTGGAAGAAATGATGAATCTTGAATGTGTAAAAATATGGTATTGAATGGTATCCCCTTGTGAAACAAAGGTACACTTTAGCATACTTAAGAGCACTTATTAAACTGTAATGTACTATAGTTAAAATTTATATTAAATGCAGTTAGTTGAACTTTAGTGTGCTTTTTTGACCCACTTAGTTATATTTCTATTATCTTTGAAATGTGGTTAAGGTGCACTGCTGAATGTACTGACAAGCATTTATGGTCAACTAAAATATACTTTAATGTCAATTTTATTGAAACTTGTAAGTCATGTATTTAAATATACTTGTAATTACACATTTAGAATGATGAAGTTGCAATTTAAAATATATTAGCTTTAAACTGAATATCAAATAACACACTACGGTTAAAGTTATCATCTAGTACTTTACATGTGCTATAGTGTTAGTCAACACATCAAAATAAGTGTATTTCTTTAAAGAACGACAAAAAGATGAAACATTATTTAAAATGTACTTTAATGTAAAAGTTTTCATTTGACGTACTTTTTTAAAAGCCCACTTGAGTGTGTTGAGAAAGTCATGAAAGTGTCTCCCTAAGTACACAAAAGTGGCCTTTATTTAATTAATATTATATTATATATATATTTTTAAATATACTTTTAAGATTTGAAGTAAACTACAAGTGCACATTTAATACAATGAAGTGCACTATTTGTCACAAGGGATGAAATTATATTATTTCAACAAAGATAAATTCATTTTCAGTAATGAAAATTCTGTCATTATTTACTCACTCATATTGTTCCAAACTCCATGGCAAAAATAACAGCATGCAAGTTTGGAACAATTTGAGGGTGTATAAATAATAATAGAATTTTCATTTCTGGGGGTGGACTGTTCCTTAAAGGAAAAACTTATGATTTTTATACGTGTGTATTAGTTCTCTTCAAAGTCAATAAGCACCTGTATCATCGAGGTTTTCCAGGCTTTGTGCCCTCCTCTCTTCTTGACTCTCTTCTTTTACAGTCGACAGAAATTCCTGTGAGGCCGACCTACAAAAATAAGTGTATTTCTTTAAAGAACGACAAAAAGATGAAACATTATTTAAAATGTACTTTAATGTAAAAGTTTTCATTTGACGTACTTTTTTAAAAGCCCACTTGAGTGTGTTGAGAAAGTCATGAAAGTGTCTCTCTAAGTACACAAAAGTGGCCTTTATTTCATTAATATTATATTATATATATATTTTTAAATATACTTTTAAGATTTGAAGTAAACTACAAGTGCACATTTAATACAATGAAGTGCACTATTTGTCACAAGGGATGAAATTATATTATTTCAACAAAGATAAATTCATTTTCAGTAATGAAAATTCTGTCATTATTTACTCACTCATATTGTTCCAAACTTCATGGCAAAAATAACAGCATGCAGGTTTGGAACAATTTGAGGGTGTATAAATAATAATAGAATTTTCATTTCTGGGGGTGGACTGTTCCTTAAAGGAAAAACGTATGATTTTTATACGTGTGTATTAGTTCTCTTCAAAGTCAATAAGCACCTGTATCATCGAGGTTTTCCAGGCTTTGCGCCCTCCTCTCTTCTTGACTCTCTTCTTTTACAGTCGACAGAAATTCCTGTGAGGCCGACCTACACGGCTGGATAGAGTTTTTCTTCTTTCTCGAGGATGCACCACGGAGAGCTGAAAGTAAAAAGAAAGAGGGGAAAATGTGAGGTTTGGTACATCATTTCAAATGATCATATTCATTCAAACTGAATTCCATTGTAAATAATAAGCATTAAACTTACGGTGAATCTTTTTAAATACTGTGGTGCCCATGAACTTCAGGAATCTGTCAGCGTAGAAATTAGGTCTATGGACAGATACTGTGTCCTAGCATGCAAAGTAGCAAAGAGCCATAAATCATGATAAAGTTCAAATAGAAGTATATACAAATATATTTAATGTAAAAAAGAAAAACTACATACGCCATCATGCACAAGAGCTTTCCACGAGTGCTCAACCTTCTTTATAAATCTGTATATATGAGATAGAAATGTTCAATAGTCAAATAAGTCATCTTTAATTGAAATAGTAATTATTCTTATCTTTTGTCAGGTGATTCATACCTATAGGACTGCAGGATATCAATGATCCCCAGAAAGATCAGCAACTTCTCGTCTTTGTGTTTAGCAGGAATGCCACCCAATCTAGAACAAAAACACATGATTATTTCAAAACTAATCCAAGGTCAGTCATAAAACGTATTAGAAATATTTTAGAAACATGGAGGACATATTTTCAGCTTTTCAACATTATTCAACATTTCAACATAATCAGAGAAGTTTTATTTCACATATATATGGTACATTTTTTAAATGTCTCACAAAGGATGAATTTATTTGAACAAAAATACAGTAAAACTAGTAACATTGGAAAAACAATTATTACATATTTCTATTTGAATACATGTTAAAATGTGATTTTATTGCTGTGATCAAAGCTGATTTTTCAGCATCATTACTCCAGTCTTCAGTGTCACATGATCCTTCAGAAATCATTCTAATATACTGATTTGATGCTCAAGAAACGTTTCTGATTATTATCATTGTTGAAAACAGTTGAGCTGCTTAATTTGTTTGTGGAAACCATGATACTTTTTTATTTTCAAGATTCTTTGACAAATAGAAATGTCAAAAAGCAGCAGCCTTTATTTGAAACTGAGATCTTCTGTTTCAGTCATAAAACGTATTAGAAATATTTTAGAAACATGGAGGACATATTTTCAGCTTTTCAACATTATTCAACATTTCAACATAATCAGAGAAGTTTTATTTCACAGATATATGGTACATTTTTTAAATGTCTCACAAAGGATGAATTTATTTGAACAAAAATACAGTAAAACTAGTAACATTGGAAAAACAATTATTACATATTTCTATTTGAATACATGTTAAAATGTGATTTTATTGCTGTGATCAAAGCTGAATTTTCAGCATCATTACTCCAGTCTTCAGTGTCACATGATCCTTCAGAAATCAGTCTAATATGCTGATTTGATGCTCAAGAAACGTTTCTGATTATTATCATTGTTGAAAACAGTTGAGCTGCTTAATTTGTTTGTGGAAACCATGATACTTTTTTATTTTCAAGATTCTTTGACAAATAGAAATGTCAAAAAGCAGCAGCCTTTATTTGAAACTGAGATCTTCTGTCTTTACTGCTGTCATGTTCCCTTTTAGTTTCAGTTTCACCTTGTTTTCATGTGTTTTGTTCCTGTGTCCTTTGTTCTATCACTAGTTTGTTGCCACAGTTACTCATTGGTTCGTTGATTATGTTCGCCTGTGTCTTGTTTAGTTCCTCATCAGCCTGTGTAGTTATACGCCCTCAGGTTCCTCAGTCCTTTGTTCGGTATCATCTTTGCATGTTTTGTGTAAAGCTGTTGCGGTTTCTGCTACTCTTACATTACTGGATTATGTTAATTTGTTTTTATTGTTAATAAAAGTATTTAGGCTGTACATAGATCCATGTCTGCTCTTCATTGCCTGACCCACCATGACAACTGCTACTTTCAATCTATTTAATGCATCCTTGCTTAAAGCTGCAGTCCGTAAGTTTTGCCTCTTTGTCGCCATCTCTGTTTGAAAACCTGGCATTGCAGCTGTGTGCGTAATTATCTAGCTTGCGTGGGTTGTGAGTCGGCACGGCTCCAGCACGGATGAATCTAATGTTCTGAAGAGTATGTGTGGCAGTCAGTCACCGCACCGGTGTGGATATTTACTGTACTTCGCAATCACAGATTTTTTACTGCTGTCATGTTCCCTTTTAGTTTCAGTTTCACCTTGTTTTCATGTGTTTTGTTCCTGTGTCCTTTGTTCTATCACTAGTTTGTTGCCGCAGTTACTCATTGGTTCGTTGATTATGTTTGCCTGTGTCTTGTTTAGTTCCTCATCAGCCTGTGTAGTTATACGCCCTCAGGTTCCTCAGTCCTTTGTTTGGTATCATCTTTGCATGTTTTGTGTAAAGCTGTTGCGGTTTCTGCTACTCTTACATTACTGGATTATGTTAATTTGTTTTTATTGTTAATAAAAGTATTTAGGCTGTACATAGATCCATGTCTGCTCTTCCTTGCCTGACCCACCATGACAACTGCTACTTTCAATCTATTTAATGCATCCTTGCTTAAAGCTGCAGTCCATAAGTTTTGCCTCTTTGTCGCCATCTCTGTTTGAAAACCTGGCATTGCAGCTGTGTGCGTAATTATCTAGCTTGCGTGGGTTGTGAGTCGGCACGGCTCCAGCACGGATGAATCTAATGTTCTGAAGAGTATGTGTGGCAGTCAGTCACCGCACCGGTGTGGATATTTACTGTACTTCGCAATCACAGATTCTAGCCTACGTCTTGGAATATATGACCCAAATAAGAATTTTCACCGTATATTGCCATCTGAACAAGAAACAAGTCTGCCACGTTTGTTCTGACCAACTGAGGAAAAAAGCATTACCATAAATCTTGCTACCAATGATGATTAAATCTAAAGATCGGTTAGCTCATATCACATCAAACCGTTCAAATTATTATTATTGTTATACTTTATTCTCAAATGATTAATGTTAACAACATCGGCATTGCGTGACTATGAGTCTGTAGATTTCAATTTCTGCACAGTCTAATCTAATTGTCATACTCTTCGAATTTCATATTAAGAAATTCTTTTAACTCAAAAAAGCTAATTATGCTCCCTTCGAACTGGTTTTATTTAAAATAAAAATCTTTGTAATGCCATGCTATCTGTAATCAGAAGCACATTTATATAAAAATACTACTTTCTTAAAAAAAAAAAAAAGTACTGACCCCAAACATTTGAACAGTTGTGTACAAATAAATATTTGGCATGTTTGACATTCTTTGTCTTTCTTTTCTCTTTACTCCACTCACGTGTCGTCATCGGCATCAGGAAGAGTCTCGGCTGCTTTGCCGTCTCCTTGAATGGACTCGCGGGCTGTGGAGTACAGGACCTTCTGCCCACCCTGACGCTTACTGTCCCCTATCCCGCCTCTCCCCCTCAGCGATCCTATACAGCATTGTCAGGAATCAACCAATCACAAAAGGTATTCAGCTGTACTAATTAATTATGCAGAAGATATTAAACAAACTGATAACTACAACAGAACTGTTGACATTTGGAACGGAGCAATTGTATCTCAATGTTTGAATAGGGAGTCTATGGCAACCACACATTACATCTGTCAAGTGTCAAGCACGGTACGCGTGCGGTAATACCTCGGGAGAAAGACACTCTCAACAACGTAGAAGTCTTGCATGAGAACATCTCTGTCTGGTTTGGAGGTCATATTGCCGACTGTGTACCCGATGCCGAGCTGGATGGCTCCTCTCAAGGCTTCAGCTGTGGGCTGGAGACAAACACACACAGACACACAGAAACTTAATGTAGAACAGGCCTCAGATCATGAGCAAATACTGACGTACAGGAAATCAATCATTGCTCTGCAGAGATAACGCCATTCTTATCAGCACTAAAAGCACACACATGAGAGGAAGTTGAAGACAAGGAAGTCGAGGCATATGGCTACGTTTGAGGCCTGGTTTTACAAGAAGTCATTTACTGCTAGAGTGCCACAATGTGAGCAAATAAATCGCAACTACTTAGCAACGCCCTGACAACCACCCACAACGAGTTAGGATTGTGACGCCTACTGCAGAGTGTAAAAATATCAAACATGTACAGTACTACAGTACATTTATCCCTCCAAACTAACTCTTTCACAATAATTTTCATAAATTATAATTTTGAATATTCATGATAACCTTACTGCATGAAGGCCTCTATTACGACAATAATGCACAAAACACATGCCCATATTTAACAATCAAAAGAAAAAATAAGAAATTATATTTTGCATTAAAAGAATTATGCCCATTTCTTTCATGAAAATCAAGCACATTTTAAAACCAAATTCTTGGTAACGTAATGTGTCCAGAAAAATTATTATTATTATTATTATCATCATATTTTTTCATCATTCTCATAATACATTCAGTAAAAAATCTTGTCCAGACAATTAATTTTTTTAAATTAAAATGAGTGTAAATAAAAGGTAGTACCATAAATACATAGTAGTATTAATACTTTATAAATAATAATAAATATAAAATATCAGTCAAAGTATAATTTCATATCAAATTAATAAACCATTTGAATTTATTATTTTAATGTAAAATAAATATTTTAGATATACAGTGGGTATTGAAAATATTCACCCCGTTTAAAATAACCACATTTTGTTGCTTTGCAGCCTGAAATGAAGACGGACAGTTTTTGTTTTATGCAGCTGTATTTACTCAGTGCAACTTATAACATCCAAGTGAAAGATAATAATACCAAAATGTCAGAAAAAAATATATAATAATAATAATAAACCCAGAATCACTGAGTTGGAAAAATGATCAGCCCCTTGTGTCAGTATTTTATTGAACCAGCTTTTGCTTTAATCACAGCTTTTAGTCTGTTGGTATTTTTCTCTGCTGACTTTGCACATCTATACTTTGCAGTATTTGCCCGCTCTTCTTTGCAGAACTGCTCAAGTTCAGTTAAATGTGATGGTGAGCATTTGTGGACTGCAGTCTTCAAGTCATTGCACAGATTTTCAGTGGGGTTTAAGTCTGGGCTCTGACGAGGCTATGCAAGGACATTCAGATTATCCGCCTTCAACCACTGTGTGCTGAGTTTTGCTGTGTGCTTTGGGTTAGAGGCTATGCAAGGACATTCAGATTATCTGCCTTCAACCACTGTGTGCTGAGTTTTGCTGTGTGCTTTGGGTTATTGTCATGTTGGAAGGTAAACCTTCTTCCCATTGACAACTTCCTGGCAGAGGGCAGCAGATTTTGACGGTATTTTGCCCTGTCTATTTGTCCTTGCCCTTGTCCTATTCTATCCTGACAAGTGCTCCAGTCGCTGCTGCAGAGAAACACCCCAGAACAGGATATCACCACCTCCATGCTTTTCTGGAGGAACGCTGTTATTTGGATACTGAGCTGTATTGGATTTCTGCCAGACATATCGTTTGGTGTTGAGACCAAATGATTCAACTTTAGTCTCATCTGCCTCAGAATCTTCAAGGTGTGTTTTGGCAAAGCTCAGTCTGACTGCATGTGGCCTTTCTTGAGGAGCAGCTTTTTTCATGCAACTTTCCCATACAAGCCACATTTGTGGAGAATTTGTGATGTTGTCACATGCACACAATGATCACTCTTTATCATAAATTCCTGCAGCTGCTTCAGAGTTGCTGTCGGCTCTTGGTCGCCTCTCTGAGCAGTTTCCTGAGCGACGTCCTGATCCAGAGATGGTCTGTGTTTTACCAAATACCTTCCACTTCTTAATAACAGACTTCACTGAGCTTCTAGGCATTGATAACGCTTTTGGAATTGTTTGAATCCATCTCTTGACTTGTGCCTGTCCACAACTTAATCCTGGAGATCTGCACCTGATTGAGTCTACAAGTCATGTTGAGGAGGGGGGTGATCCAGTTTTTTTTTATTACATTACATAATTTATTGGTGTTATTATCTTTCACTAGGATGTTACAGCTGAATAAAACAAAAACTGTGTCCGTCTTCATTTCAGGCTGCAAAACAACAAAATGTGATGATTTTAAAGGGATGTGATTCTTTTCTATACCCACTGCATGTTAATATTTATATCTAAAATATATTATATATTAATACATTATATAAGATTTATATATTCATATATAAATGAGATATTTTGTGGTATTATGATAATTAAAAGCAATGTGATGGAGTGGCTGCTAATATGAAAATAAGTTTTTTATTAATAATTCTTTTGATTTGGGGGTGAACATATGGATATGTTATATGCATATGCATACATAAATTATGAACATATCCATTTTCTGGAAGTATTCTAGATTTATTTATTTTTTTCTCTTAAACCTATTGTCCAATTATTTCTGTCATCTTTTGTTCCAGCTATTTATATACAGGAAATGACAAAATTGTCTCTAAACCCCACAAGCCATTTTTGGGCAAACATCCACAATGCGAATATGCTAATCTAAGATCATGAGCCTCTATGGTCCACATGGCATGGCACATGGCTATAGTGTGGTCACCGTTATGTAACAGTCAGCAGGAAAACAGCATTTCAGACAAACAAGTATGACAAATCAGAGTGGGATATGCAAAAATCAAATCCCACTAAATCCCAAAAGAGCTCACAGCACAAACGCTACATTGTGCCACAGAAAAATATGTTGGGTTGGGCAAAAAATAATCTATTGCACACCAAAGCCTAGAAACCAGACCGACAGAAAATGACAAATCATTTCTCCTAAACAATGAAATTAAATAGAGACACTTGCCGTAGACTCCTGCTTCTCAGATTTTCCTTCGTTAGAATAAGACCTCATGTATCTCACATGAGTTTCAGAAGAGCTATGCGACACTATCATTCATTTTAAAGCTTTATATTCTTCCTGTATGTCAACAATTGTCTCATTTGCTATTTTATGTTTCTGAGGAATTTTGGTTACTTACATTAATACTTAAAATGCAACTCAGAATTTTATTTACATTAGCAATACATTATTTCTTGTGCAGTATGCATCTGTGTAGAGAGTTGTCCAACTTCTTTATTTTATTAACCTAAATAATTCTTCAGCTTCAGCCAGTGATAAATACAATTAGAAGTGTAAATAAACTAAATCAATTCATCAGTTTATCACTGATACATACAGATAAAACATTGTTCTATATTTTACACACCTTTTTGTGGTCTTTGCCCCCGGTTTTTTGAGGTCTTCCACCTCTGGTCTCGTCTGCCGTTGAATTCATCTATTATTTAAGGTAAATATAAAAAATACATAATTACAATCATCAAAATTGCGATATGAATGTCTCAAGGCCCCAAAAATGATTAAATCAACATAATCATAGTGCACTATTAAAATAAGAATATGTAAAGGTAGCTTCAACTGTGAGCGCTGTGCACATTATCAAACAGGAAATTAAGTCATGTGATGTTCCTGTTCTTGGTAGAATTCAAAGCTGCTGATGCAAGAGATGCAACTCTAAAGCACCTCACCTCACAAGTTTCCTCCTGACACAGTTGCAACGTTTCAGTCGGACCATATCTGAATGATGCAGCATATATAATCACACAAAATTGAGAGAAGTTGGAGTTCTGCTTAGTGACAGGATGTTGGTAGTAAACACATGCAAAATTTGGGGAAAACACATGCAAAATTTAATACTTTTCCTTTTCATACAGCAGTGCTCTATTCAAATAAAGCTGTCAGTAGCCTCAGGGGCCATAAAAGCTGCTCGTCTATATGAGTGAATGTTACAAAATCATGACCGGGTCTCATTTCACCCAAAAGTCTGGGGATAATTGTCATGAAAATGATAGATAGATCTGCTACATAAAAATATAAAAACATATGAGCATATTAAAGTCATATGAACATAATTATTTGTACTGCTTGCGAAAGACATAATATGAATGATGGGTTAGTCCTGTTTTTTTTGCCTAGATATATTCATTTATTTAATTCAATGACTTGAAAACATATCTTCTATCATGAACATATTTTCAGTTTCTGAAATAAAATTCATTTTGATATTTTTGGAGGCATATCATTTCCAGGGTGTTCCAACTGATGACATCACGAAAAATAAATAAATAAATATAAAACCTGAAGACTTAGTTAATGCATAATGCATTATTATTATTATTATTTAGAAAAAAGTAAGCTTCACTGCATATTAATATATGAAAAACTACAAAACAAATCAAAGTCATGTGGTGCAACCAACATACAGAAACATGGAGGAAAAAGCAGCCACCTGAAATACCATAGCAATACCCTAGCAACCACCCACAACACCTTAGCACCTACGTGATGGCTTCATTTTCTTTATGCAAATATAATTTCTTCTTTTTTTCATTCTTATTTTGGAGTGAAATACAACCGTAGCCCTATCATGAACTGTATACACCACTTTGGCCAATTTTGTGTTCAGTGTACTCTCTCAGAAAAGTTATACCTTTCGGGGGTTCATTTCATTTCATTCAACTTTGTACCTTATTTACCCCTAAAAGTTGCATAGTAGTGCCCTGAGTGTTTATACTAGTACTCTAAAGTACTGACATGCACTATTTAGGGGTAGATAAAGTTGTCCTTTTAAGCGTACTTCCCCAGTGACAAGCTGTTGCACTCTTAAAGACACTTTTTTTTCTGACAGCATGGCATTTTCCTTACCTTGTAAACCGCTCTGCTGTTCATTAGACATTAATGTCGATGCATATCCAGCTGAAAATGATTCCAGGCGTCTAGTGCAGGAAGAATAAATAGAACATGAGTAGGTGTCAGGCATCTGTCAGTGACTGATACTGAAAGTGAAAGACATGAAGAAAGTGCACAAGCAAAGGAAACAGAGTGCTAAAGTGAACGTAAACAAAGATGGAAAGAATGTTTATGAGGGAAATGGAATAAGTGAGCGTTTAAAGATATTTATACATGCATTAAACACATGGCAAGCGCTGTGTGAGGCTCAATCGTTCCAGAAATGACAGATCACGTGCCCACACGCCACTGAATGTTATAAAACAGACTCTGCAAGATATTCAAATTCAACAGATGATGCTCACAGCCTATTTCCCGTTAATCTGATGGCAGAGCCACTAAACAAACATGTTTCTTTGCCATATCTCACGCCGATGAGGAACCGTTGAAAGGAGAAAGAGTTCCTACTTAAAAAAACATCTGAAATGTTAAAGCATCACACAGCTAAGGAGAATCATTGCAGGTTTTGATTAGTTTATACAGACATTATTTGATGTTTGATGTCAACAGAACTCAAGATCCCATATTTGGCTTGCTAATCGAGATGAGAAATAAGTTGTACATACCTCAGTGACACTAACTGCTATGAACCAACACAGCAACTAGAGGCTTAAAGTTTCCCGTACTGACTGGCTCCTTGCAGTTAAAATAATATCAGAAAAGACGGATTTGCAATTAATCATGAAATCTTTCCTAAGACAGCCTGGTCCTCAATGTCCCAGCCCACAAAGTAAGCAAACAATCGCAGCCGTAAGTAAGTACGTAAGAGTCTTGATTCTTGAGGCATGGCCTGTAAGGTAAGGAGGATATTGCTTAAGGCTCTATTGTTTTCACAGCTTTGCTGATTTGCTTGTATCTGTGTCAGCACTGCGGGTGATCAGATATACAGGGCACAAAGCTATAAACACTGAGCTTTATTATACTTTGTGCATTATAAACAGTAACCAGATTTTATAACCAATTTCAGACATTTAACATTGGTCAGCACTGAATACAGGATTTTAACATGAACAGCTGGCATAACTTACCATTAGGATCATAAAATGGTTACCTCTTGAAATTATTAGGCTACACAGTGAAAATGTGCTACATACAGTATATAAATATGCAAATAGAATCACAACAACCACAAAAAAGTATATAAATATCAACATAATTATTAGTGTTGCTTGTTACAGACACAATATGAATGATGGGTCAGTGCTCTTTTTTCATCTAAATATTAATTCTTTCAATTCATATATAAAATGACTTGAATATACCTCTTCTATGATGAGCATTTTTTTAATTTCGGAATTAAAATTCATTTATATATATTTTTTGGAGGGGGGGGGCGGCGGGCATGAAGTTTAAAAATCTAGAGTGTTTCAACTCTCCTGATATCATGATAAAGAAAAAAAAGGCAGCGGCTATTTGCACTATAGATGCTATTTACACTAAGTGAAAATTCAGTATTTTCTTAGTGATATGCTATTTTTACACTAAGTGCAAATTTACTCAATATTTAAAAATAATAGCAGCATTTTCTTTGACATAAGTGTAAATAGAAGTATTAATATTGTAGTACATTATAAAACAGTATACTATTGAGTGTAAATTATCATATTTATTCAAATTATTAAATGGATGCCGCCTTATACTGGGACAATAAAGCCCTCCCTACACCTACCCCAACCCTACCTGATAAACACTGTTATGAAATACCCATGAGCTGCTTTATTTCCACTTTTCGAATATTTCCTTCCTTTTTTCTTGAAAATAAATGCCTTTCCGTTCTGGTATGCAATGGGAAAAGGGAGAAGAATGAATTCGGCAAAGGTTGGATTTGAACTCGGGTCGACTGCGTCAAAATTTTCATAAGCAACCAGTTGTATAATGAGCACAAACTTCTTAAGGTTCAGACTAGCTAAAGAAATGTTGCTTTAGACTACAAGAACTAAAAAAGGTTTGGTTATCTAAATTTGACTCTCAAATCAAAATCAGAGATGTAGCAGTATAGTCAATATTACTGTTTACCCAAATATTAATATTACCCAAAAGGTTTATATAGTAATAACTGAAGCTCAGAAATGTAACATGGTCCGAGGCTTTCCCAGTTTAGATTTCCTGACCCCTAATTCCAACTCCCATGACCCGTTGACTGCATAACTAATCTGACTGGTAACAAGCCAGTACATTATATGTATGGGTAGACTTAAAAAAAGCCTATGTATAAATCTCTCCACAACTGGCTAGACGGACACATAAATGGACATTTTCCAGGGTAGCCGATCTAAACCTGGATGTTCTCAAAGGTCTAATCGTGTTTTTCAGACAGGGAACAAAGGGTTGGCCAGAAATAAGGATATTTGCAAGCCAAATCACAGGACGTCAGGATCAGCAGGGCTGAAATTTCCTCAAATCCTACAAAGTGCACAATAACCTAATTTTTTAAAACTATCACATCATCATTACACCCTCACACCCGGCCTGGACTGAAACAATAGGTCTTTATCAGTGGGGAGAGGCGTGGATTCGCGCACAGAAGCATAAGGACTGTTTGCATTTGGCGTGGAGAGAAGGGAACGCAAATGAACGCAAATGACACATGAGTCATGACATCAACGATCTCGTGACCCGCTCAGATCGCCTCTGTAAGCATGGGGCACCTAATAAAACAGAGCACTAGGCTCAGAATTAAATGGAAGACAGTAACCAACACAGATGTAAGCAATAGTGTAAACAGGATACAGAAATACAGCTTTTGAAGATCAACCAACGGACTTCAGATGGTTGCTGTGACCCCGGTTTAGATGTTATGTATTGTAAGTATGTCAAACTTGAAGCACAATAATCAAACTCGCTTAATGAGATCAAGCAACAAACTTTCTTTTTCCATACACGGAATACAGTGCTATCTTGTTTAAATACACTGTGTACAACATGCATAATCATATACGTACACTCTTAAACATAAAATGTTCCAAGTGGGTTTGTGCACTGATGCCACAGAAAAACATTTTTTTGGGTTCCATAAAGAAACTTTCAGTGAACAGTTCTTAAAAGAACCGTTTTTTCTTAGTGTAAAGAAAATTTTATTAATCTAAGAGAAACTGTTTCCGCCAAAAAAGAACATTTTGTGGAATGGAATGGTTGCATTGATGTTAAAGATTCTTCATGGAACCATCAATGCCAATTAAGGACCTTTATTTTTAAGAGTGTACGCTAGCATACATCTGCTTTATATCCATATTATGTATATACTGTGTGTAGCCTAATACATCTATGATATGAATGTTTAAGCCTACATAGATTATGCGCATCGGTTGATAATCATGCCTTCTCATTCTACTATAAAAACATGCAACTGTTACCTATTTCTACTTCTGACCCTTAAAATGTTGTTGGTGGTCACTAGATGTTGTCTGGTTGATTCAGACATATTATTTTTTATTTTTGACATGAATACAGAAACGTAATTAAATTGTTGTCCGTAATGTTTACATGTTCTGCATTGTTTGGAATTATTTTGAGTGAAATTTGTGTAAAATAAATAGTAAATTATGATATTTTGTAGTGCTGGGCGGTATACCGGTTCATACCGGTGTTTATTTTTGTTATGATATGAATTTTTAAAATACCGCAATACTGGTGTATGTCGCTTAAACAACGTTCAGAACGCGACACTGTCTGAAAGGGGTCCCTTTTCACTGTTGCACTGTGGTGAGGGCACAGCTGTATGTGTTACTAAGCGTGAACGTTCCGAAACTGAAGCTGTAGAACTAATAGAACGTGATGACACAGAAGAACTCATCCACAATATCCACATTGACCACCACAAATATCCACCGCCCCCTGCCATCAGCTCCCGCGTCTCACACACACACGAGCGCGACTTTAGCACTACATTTAGCAACTTTCAGACCCTTTAGCGGCTTTTTCCCATAGAATATTCATACTGACAAACCTAGCGACTTTTTTGGATAAACCTTAGCTATGGTTCAGTTGGAAGATTTCGCCAGTGCTGTCCCGCGAACGCGAGGTCTGACTTTCCCGGAGAAGTGTCAGCTCTCTCGGCATCTGTTCTGTGCAGTGAGCCGCAGAAAAGCAGCGCATTCAGTTGGCCGCACCGCAGCCGACTCGTCAATAAATGAGTACAAAACAGC